TTGAGTCAATGGCCACTCTTTGTCTTGCAAAGGAAATTGCCCCCACGTGGGTGAAGTGCTCAAGGTGTTGAAATGACTGGTCTCTTACAGACAGGTCTCCTATGGAGCTCTGGGTCAGGCCAGGATTGTTCCCCGGACCCTGGAGAGGGGTGTGTTTACTTAGAAGTTCTTATGGGGCCACCTCTTGTGTGAACAATGAGTCCCTACACTTCCACAAGGCTCCATTTTTTGTGAGACAGGGTCTCACTATCAGCCCAAGCCAGTCTCTCTCTCTCTCTCTCTCTCTCTCTCTCTCTCACACACACACACACACACACACACACACACACACACACACACACACCCCTCCTCAGCTTCCAGAGTGTTGTAACTACAGATAGAGGACTTGCCTACCACACAGGAGATCCTTGCTTTCTCAATACTTCCTGAAGGAGCAATCAGCTATTATTTCTGGAAATTTTTTGTATGCCAGCAAAGCAACTATAGTATCTAATTCAGGTTTGAAATAAGATGTCAATTTCAGCTAAATTATGTTAAATTTATTAGTATTGACCAGAAGAAAAAGAAAGCCTGTAACCTTATGAAATTGAGAGAAATCTGAATAAATTCTAGCCTCATTTGCTTTCTGATGATAGTTATCGTCTTGAAATTTATATATTTGTATTTCTAAAAAAAAATAATATTTCTAAAAATAACTATCAATTCTAGATAAGACAGGACAGGAAATCTTCATTTCAAAGACATAGAACTTAGATTTTAGGCCTAAACACCATTATATGCCCAAAGAAAGGTACAGCTGGGAGCCCTGTGAAGACAAAAAGGTTAAAAGCAGGATTTGTTATACAGATTTAGGTCTTCACTTTCTCCAGTGTAAAAGTCTCTAGCATTTAGGATTCAAAGAGGAGGATATCTTTACATGTGAAGTTTCCCTTGACAGGTAGAATTTTCTTTTTGAAAAAAAAAGGGATATTAAAAATAATGACAAATGGGTAGCCTTCCAATTCAGCTAGTGTTTTTAAACTAGAAAAGTAGGTTCTGGGTGGAACCCTTTTTTCACTGAGTGTGGCAGACAAAGCATTCACAGTAGCTTTTTTTTTTTTTTTTTTGGTGGGACTGGGGTTTAAATTCAGGGCTTCACACTTGCAAAGCAAGCACTCTGCTGCTTGAGCCACAGCACCTCCAGTTCATTTTGGACTGGTTATATTGGAGATGGGGTCTCGAGAAGTATTTGCCCAGACTGGCCTCAAACCACAGTCCTCCCAATCTCAGGCTCCCAAATAGCTTGGATTACAGGCATGAGCCACTGTGTTAGGCTCATTATGGTTCTAAGATAGGAAATGTAAATAAAATAGTCAGCAGATTCCAAGTAAGCAGAAGAGGATAGAGAAAAACAGAGACAAGGTGCAGAGTTGTCACTCAACTACCATTCACTTTTTGTTCTTCCCATTCAGCCATGTAGAAGCTTCTGTATGTCAGTGAAGATCTCACCTAATTGTTTCGGAGGAATTAGATTCTGGATTATATTCTTTCCCAGAACACTTTTGTTTTGATTAAATTTTCACCACTCTGGACACTATAATTCTAAATACTTTTGGAAAGGTTCTGCCATTTCTCTGGAAAGGTCATTATACATACTTCTTATGCAAAAACCTAGCTGGAATCATGGGAATTGGGTTCCCAGAATCCTTAGATCCAGATGAACTCATTATCAAAAACACCCCCCCAAAGGGCCTTTAACTGGATCCAATCCCATTTATTCTCAAATCCAATCCTACCCTGGAGCCCATCTGGTCCATGTGTGACAGACTTAGGTACTGGAGGCCACCTCCAGAACCCAGTCTTGTTTCTGTCATGATTTCCAAACCCAGATGGGTCTTCATTTTGTTTTCTCTCTGAAAGTGCTCACAACAAAAATACACGGAGGTTGGAACTCCAGAGAGACGATGGCATGGTAAGCCCCAGCAAGCGCTTTCTCTCACTCCCTCTCTGGCCCGGGGCAGAGGGTCTTTGCTTCACATCTGCCTACTGCACCAATCTGTTAAAAGGAAAAGCTGTAGGTGAATTAAACTGAACAGAGTTTACTTGAACAAAGAGTGATTCAGAACTGGGGCAGCCCTCAGACCAGAGGACACTGTGAGAACTGGGGACCGTACTTGTGGGTAGAAAAAGGAAGCGGGGCACAGAGACAGCATGATTTGGTCCAGCTCGGCCTCGCCCTTGGCCTTCTTTGAATCAGTGGCCTCCTGGGAGGGATGGAGCTCAGCGTCTGTAATCAGCTGGCACTGAACTGTGTGTTACAAGCATACCCCCCTAAGGTAGGTTTTCTTAGTGTAAGGTACCCAGCCACCTGCAGGTCCCAGAGGTCCTTCTGTAAGGACTCCAGTGCAGAGGCAGCCTCAAGCTGGGCTGAGTTTGACTGCACAACACTCAGTTGCTTTTCCTAGTCTTCTGCCCCCGTAGAGTACAGTCCTGCCTGTTTTTGAACTTCATGTAAAGAAAAGCCATGGCCTATAGCACGTGTTCTTCTGTGATTTGCCCCTTTGTGGGTTGCGGTGTGGTTCGATGGTAGAACACTGGCCTAGCACGTTGTAGTGCTTCATCCCTAATATCACAAAATTTTTTTTTCAAGTTTTCACGTTTGTGAGATTCATTTAATCTGCTGAATATAGATGTCCTATCATTGTCATTGCTATATAGTTTTCCATTTGCAAAATTACAATTTTTATTCCCTCTCCTATTGATAGACATTGTGGGGCTGTTTCCAATGTTTGGCTTTTTATTTATTTATTTATTGGTAGGACCAGGGTTTGAACTCAGGGTTTTATGTTTGCAAAGCAGTGCCCTACTGCTTGAGCCACACCACTAGCCTGTTTTGTTCTAGCTATTTTGGAGATGGGGGGGGTCTCATGAAATATTTTGCCTGGGCTGGCCTGAAACCACAATCCTCCCACTCTCAGCCTCCCAAGTAGCTAGGATTACAGACGTGAGTTACCGGCACTCATCTAATGTTTGGCTTTTTAAATGATGACACTTTAACCAGGTTGGTGAATCCAGCCTAGGACACATATGCCACAGTTTCTCCAGGATTTTTACCATAGCACGGTGGCATCATGGGATGTGCATATCTTGACCTTTGTCGTGGATGCGCCTGTCTCCGACGTATGGAATTCCTGTCTGCCTTTCTCCAGCACTCCCCACAAGTGAACTTTAGGTCTTTACCAATATGGGGGTCCATGAAGCCACCCCAAGTGGTGTATTCTGCATTGGTCGGAACTATCCCCAGGCCTTTCAGCCTTTCTGATTGCATCTTGTATGAAGGACCAGGGTGGGGCAGGGCCTCAGGCAAAGCAGATCAGAGGGTCACTGGCAAAGAAACAGAGGCAGAGGAAGGCCGACCAAGGCAATGCAGTGGCTGTTTTGAGGGAGCCCCTCCCTGCTCCTGCAACCCCTCCATCAGCTTCAGGTCCCCTCCAGTCCCTAGGCTCAGCACAGAGCCGAACCTGCAGCTTTGTCAGTGGTCTTTGAATCCAGGCCTCTTGTCAGCCCTCTTTTGGTTGCAATGCACCACACTGGCCTTATTCTTGCTCCTCTCCCAAGGGGATCTGACATGTGACTCAGGAGGCCCATGGACTCTGCCTCTCAGCAACCCCGCTTGCAAAGACCTCACTCCTCTGAGTGCACAGCCCAAAAGTCCCTCTTCACTTCTGAGGCCCAGAGTCCATGATTTTTCTCTGGATTGTGTCTAGAATGATGACTGGGTTTATGGATCCCATTTCATTCCAGACAGGAAGCCCCTGTCCAATTGGATCTGATTTGACTCATAAGGGCCTCAAGGATGTTTTACTTGTGATTGGTGCTGAAAAGATTTTAATTGAATGAAATCAATGCCTTTAAACAATTTGATCTATGCCTCCGATATCCCCTGTCCCAGGAAGCCCAGCGCCTCCTCCACATATAACTGCAGCCACAAACACTCCCTACAAGGCCCTGAGGCCTCCCCTCCTGCTCCCAGGCTTCAGTGTCCAAGGCAGAACAGTGGCTCCATCTGTTATTAGCCTGTGTCTTCTGGGGCCTTCTTTTGAGCTTGGCAAGCTCTCTCTGATTCCAGACACCAGCAGGTGCTGACCTGTATACAGGTTGATATTTCTGGTGGAGATTGAATGACATGGCTTGCTGTAATCTCTGGGGTCTTCAGGCTGCACCCCAATGTATGCCATGGGGTCAGAGCCTTAGATGTACTGAGCTTCACTGGTGACCCTCTGTGGCCTGAGTGCTCCCCCAGCATCCACACTCTTTCTGGTTCCCACCAAGGACTCTGGGATCAGGAGCAGCCTCTGCATCTGGTGCCATCTGCCCAGGTGTGCAGAGCCTGACCTCACAGCAGCAACAACCAAGGGACAGATACCCCAGGGCTCCATCTTCTTCTCTGTGGCCAGCACCCTTGTCTGAATCCCAAGAACCTCTACATGGCCTCTGAGTGAAACTGTGACCTGCAGAGGGCCAGCTCCCATTGCTTGACCTTAGTACCTGCAGGGCCCATCCAGGACCCGGGACACCTAATTGCTAACTAACTGCTCTGTGAGCAGCACTGCTGCGTGTGACTGGCTTCCCTGCAGGCCCCTCATGCAAGCAGGACATACTGTATCTGAAGATTACTTAGTGTCACCATAAGAAGAGCACTAAAGGACACCTCACACTACATACCTATTGTAATGTCCAACATAAAAAACAATGACAATACCAAATGCTGTCAGAATCAAAATGGAGTCACTTATGTCAACTCTGAAAAAAAAAAAAAAAAGGAAGCCAAGAAGGGAGTGTCCAAATGCAATTAGCCTGGTGGACACTGGAACTATGGACTGGCTCATTGCTAGATCATTTGGACTCTGGTGTGACCAGAGTCCACACCAGAGTATATTATTAGAAACTTATCACTTAGGTGTCTTTTTTTTTTTTTTTAAGAAAATTGGGTTATTGCTCTGGATTATAGCAATGGAGACAGGGCCTGGGGACAGGAAGGACAGAAACAGGAAGAACCACTTCTCCGCACCCTGTGGAGCACAGGCCACAGCTGCAGCTCTGCCCATCAGCTGCTCAGTGGCCACACACTGAAGGTCCAGCTCCTCCTCCCACGGGGCAGCCATGAGGTCGCCTGCGAGTCCCAGTGTGCGCCGGGCCAGCCAGCACCTTTAGGACGGCATCTTGTCGGAGGCAGCCCCCTTCTTCTTGCCCTGGGTCTTGAGCAGTGCCAGCCTTTTGGGCAGGCTGGAGCTGGCCTTCATCACCACGTCGTGCTCGATCTTCTTCCGGATCCCCACCTCCAACTCCTTTTTGAGTTTTCGCTGCTGCACGATTCGCGCCTTCTTGGGGGCGATAACACGACCGCCTTTCCTCGGCCCCGGCTCCGCTCCGAGGCCGCTGCCGCAGTCTTGCTCTTTGCTGGTTTCTGCGCCTGAAACTTACGCTGCCCCTGCGCCATGTTCAGGCCGGGCACCGGAAGGGGCCCCTTAGGTGTCTTTATAGATTCTATTTACAGGACTATTACTACTCAACAATGCTCATTAAATTCCATGCAAGCCCAGCACTGGTGGCTCACACCTGCAATTCTAGCTACTCAGGAGGCAGAAATCAGGAGGATCCTGGTTTGAAGCCAGCCTGGGCAAAAGTTCACAAGACCCTATCTTGAAAAATCCAACACAAAAAAGGGCTGGCAGAGTGGCTCAAGGTGTAGGCCCTGAGTTCAAGCTCTAGTACTGCAAAAAAAAAAAAAAAAAAAAAAAATCCCTTGCCAGAGTAATGTTGGATAAGAGAATTTCTTTTGAGTATCTATCAGCTGTACAAAGTGGTATAGGGCTTTTGCTAACACTACATGTTACCTGGCTAAAGTCCCCTGAAGAAAGTGAGACCCAGCTATACAAAACAATAAGAGAACAGACCAAAAATCCATATGAGGTCTCACTAAGTTCTCCGTGGTTATTTAAGATTACCAAGTCAGGTTCATGTTTCAAAGCCACTCATGCAAACCTCGCTAATCATGTCACTAATAATACGACTTAATTTTTCTTTTTAAAACCTTGGGTCTGAACTAGAGAAAAGGTTAGATCAAAAAAGAATTAACCTAGAAGGTAACACCCACGCACAGGAAATCAATGTGAGTCAATGCCCTGTATAGCTATCCTTATCTCAACCAGCAAAACCCCTTGTTCCTTCCTATTATTGCTTATACTCTCCCTACAACAAAATTAGAGATAAGAGCAAAATAGTTTCTGCTGGGTATTGAGGGGGGGAGCGGGAGGGGGTGGAGTGGGTGGTAAGGGAGGGGGTGGGGGCAGGGGGGAGAAATGAACCAAGCCTTGTATGCACATATGAATAATAAAAGAAAAATGAAAAAAAAAAATAAAAAAAAAAATAAAACCTTGGGTCTATTGCCTATCAAATTTTTGCAGACGTACAACTCCTTACAAAATAATGCTGGCCCAGTAGGTTAAGATAATAACCAACACCTATGGAACTGACAAAACTGAGCTTAACAATGAACTTAAGGAAGATTTCACTGAACCACTCTTTCCACACCTCCTTATTACTCAAATGTAGCTAAAAGGATTTTTGACACTTATTCCTAGTTGCCAAACACTTGTCTTCAATCCAAGACCAGATCAACCAGGCAGGTACATCCCACTACCAAGGGACAATCAGTCTTGCTTTCACAGAAAGATCTTAATAAAAAGGGGGAAATACAAAAGTTGCCAGAATCTACAAGGGGTACCTTATGAGAACTTATGTGAAAAAATAAGTAAATGAAGCTGAGAGGCCATGAAAGATGGTCCTCAGACATATTTTCCTAGTGACAAGGACTACTCTGCCAGAACTGCAACACTGCCCATACACCACCACAAAGTTGCATCAAGAAGACTTTTGCAAGGATATCTGCCCCATAACTTCCTATTCAACTGTAGCCTCAACCACACTTGTTATAATTCTCGGTGCCTAGGACTCTCCTTTCATAACAACTAATGTTATTCCCTTCATTTTAAGTCTCTCTTGCCTCAATCTTCCCAATATGCCTGTCATCTGTCATAGTGTGCATATTCCAAATGGGATCTTCTGCTCATTCCTGACAAACATCAATTTTTTGAGAGCTATTCTCAGTTGTCATGTACATTGACAGCAGCAAGAAGGAAAAAAAAGGATCACATATTGCTGGTAGACAAATAAAAGGTACAGTCACATTGCAAAACAGCTCAGCGGTTGGGGTCGTAGCTCAGTGGTAAAGCACTTGCCTAGCACGCGCAATGCTCTGGGTTCAACCCCCGGCACCACCACAACCAAAAACTTTAAAAAATAATGCCACATGCAAACACCATATGACCAGCAACTGTAGGAGTGGAAACATATGTTCATGCAAAAAACCCTCCATGGATGTGCATAGCAATTTCATTCATAATAGTCAAGACTGAAAGCAGCCCAGCTGTCCTCCAGCAGGTGGAGGGTGAGCTACACCCATGAAATACTGCTCAGCTGCAATGACCAGCCAACTACTGGTCCACACTGTGACAAATCTCTAGGGAATTATGTTGCATGAAAAAAAGCAAATCCCAAAAGACAGATAGTTTGGTTCCATCAACATAAATTATTAAACATTTTAAGATAGCAGGTCCAATTATTGGTTGCCAGAGATAAGGGACAGAGGATGAGGGTGCAGGAAGAAGTGAAACAGTTACAAAGGGGTCCTGTAGGGTTGGGGCTGTGAGGTGACCATAGTGGTTAGGTGATCCTTCTCAGGAGATTGAGCTGAATAGAATTTAACAGCCCCACTCAGAGGTGTGAATGTAAAACTGGAGAAACCCAGTGTCTACAGATTGGATCACTGGGAACTGAGCAAAGGGTACGGGGCTCCCCTCTGTCTAAGTTCTTACATGTGACTATAGTAATGTCAAAATGCCAACTTAAAAGGGGGATAGTGTGTCATTACAAAGGCTTTCTGACTGAAGACAGACTGTGGAGTCCTGAACCTTTAACTATGGACAGCCTGGTACAAACAACCCAGTAAATTGATTAAGGACTTGCCCAGTAGCTAGTCATTCCTGACCTTTGGCCAAGAATTTCCCATTCTCAACACAAGCAAATGTTTAAGGAATAGAAAATCTGATTACTCTGACTTCATCATTATACATTGTGTGCATATGTATAATTATTGAACCATACTGCAGAAACATGCATAATTAGCATATGCCCATAAAAAATATTTGTTTTTCCAGTGCTGAGGATGGAACCCAGGGTCTCACCCAGGCCAGGCAAGTGCTCTACTACTGGCCTACATACTTCCTTAGCCTCCCAAATGCTTCTTGATAAACTTGGGAGAAACAGGATCTCCCTAACACAGCATGACAACACAGGAGGCAGAGAGGTTCCCCAGGGGACGCTCTCCCTGTGATTCAGAGGATCGCAGCAGGCACAGAGACAGGGTGGACACGGGAGGACCAAGGCGAGCTCCCCCTGAGTGAAGGCAGGGGAGTATGATGGGAAGGGGGGGCGGGCAGATGCTGGGTGTAAATTGAGGGTGCAGAGGCTTGGGTGAGCCTGAGGCTGCCATGGGTGGGCTGTAGCAGAAACCTGGAGGAAGACTTTATTCTTTGAAAATTTTAAATTGTGTTACACACACACACACACACACACACACAAACTTACCATCAAACCACTTTTAGATATGTGGTCCAGTAGCATTAGGACATTCACACCATTGTGGAACCAATCTCCAGAACTTTTTCCTCTTGTAAAACTGGGATTCTGTACCCATTAAACAATAATTCTCCATTTCCCCTTCCCTAATCCCCTCCCATCGCCTCCCAACCCCTCCCAACCACCATGCTGCTTCTGTCTCTAAGAATTTTACTACTGTAGGAATCACAGGAGTGTAATCATACAGTCTGTCTGTTCTGACTGGTTACATTCCCATTGTAGTGATGTCAGGCTTTCCTTCCTCATTGTGTGTATGGACCACATCTTATTTATCCACTCACCCATCCACAGACACTTGTTATAGCAAAATACATGAACATGAGAAATGTGAAAGAAGAGGTTTACTTAGCTCAGAGATTCGAATGATCGATACCCTGTTGCTGACCTCTGCTCAGCTCTGGTGGCATCAAGGACAAATGTCATCATGAGGCTGCAGGGTAGGAAAGGGAGTGAGTATCACACAGTGAGGCAGGATCTGGAAAGGGAGGAGGAGCCGGGATTGGTTTTTTATTACCACCACTATAGCAGGGTCTAACCGGGGTTCCTCCAGAGGGCAGCAGCTCCAATAACTTAAGCACTTCCATTGCTGTCCAGTTAAAAGTGCCATCACCTCCCAACATCATCAGCACACTGGGGACCAAGTTTAAAACACATGAACTTTGAGGGACATGCTTAAAATACATCCAGACCCTAACATTTGCTCCCACCTCTTGGCTACTGTGAATAACGCTGCTCTGAGGCTGGTGTGCAGAGATCTGTCTGAGCCTCTGCTTTGTTTATTTTTTTTAAGAAAGGGTCTCCATATTTAGTTCAGGCTGGCCCCCAACTTGAGATCCTCCTACCTCAGCTTCCCGAGTGCTGGGATTACAGGTCTGAGTCACCATTCTCCCAGAAGGTGGAATCCCTCTGAATTGCTTTGGGTTGGGATGCAGGATTGCTTTGGTGCAGAAATCGTTTTGAACCCAGCCTGAGGCTACATAAGCCTCTCAACTCCGTATCAAAGGCTATACCTGTGGAGAACAGACTCACCCTTGGTCCCCATCTACTGTCCAAGGTAACAGGGTTCAACATTATGGGCACAAGTGTGCCAGCTGCTCTGGAAGACCCAGTCTGTGCCTGGTCTGGCCCAGGAGACTAGCCCCGCCCCAGCCTGCCTGCTCCAAGCATAGCTGCCCACACGTGTCTGTGAATTCACACACATACACACCGAGACACACACACAAACAAAAGCAGTGCAGGCCTAGCAACACCCCAGTAACTGCAGATACAGAGAGGCCCCAACATACACACCGAGACACACACACAAACAAAAGCAGTGCAGGCCTAGCAACACCCCAGTAACTGCAGATACAGAGAGGCCCCAACACAACAGTCACTCTGGACTTACATTCCTGGGCACCCACCTGCCCCAGCCAAGACTGGTGAGAAGACAACTGGGGGATGGACAGCCAGGACACTCTGGGCGTGTTTTCCCTCCTCTATGGGCTCCTGGCATAGGAGGCTAAACCTGAGCCTCTGGTCCAAGCTGGGAACTTCAAGCCCCACCTGGCTTCAGTACCCAGAACACAGCTGGACCCCAGCTGCTGTCAGGAAGGAAGGAGGGATGGGCACCCAAAGACAGCATAAGCAAAGGGATGGGTGGCTAATGTTCCCAAAATAAAAGACATCTGCCCCCAAACCACCCACCGCCACATACACACCTGTGGGAGACTTTCAAGGCACATCATGTAACTAGTTGCC